GTTTTACTGCTGAAATAGCTAGATATAACTCTAAGATCTATACTATTAATTTCTTTTCTCGCACTTCTTGCCTATGGAATACTCTTTCAGTTTCTTGCTTCTCTATCCTCTATAATCTTAAAAAAAATTAATATAATGTCAATTGTAATGTACTTTCTTCCCGAACCCTGTTTTTTATTGTCCTTTCTCCTCATCAAAGTCTTCCATTTCAAGAAAGACTCTTGTGTCTTAGTGACATTATCGCCTTCCTTGTGTTGAAATGATTAAAAAGAATGCTGGGCAGAAAATAAAGAAAAAGATATTTCTGAATATGTGTGAGAAAATAGAATGAGTTTAACTATGCAGAGAGAAAGGAGTAAATAAAGGAGTAAAAATAATCAGCTGATCTTCTTAGTGTCAGCGTGTTGGCAAATGTAAATAGGTGATTTGTATCCGGTTCCTTCAATGCCACCGGTAGCAAATCCACCTGAAACAAGTGCCACTCCTGGGGGTTGGACTAACGGCTTTGCTTTTGTTTTATTTCTGAGGCTCCCGCGCTAAGTAAAACAAAATAATCTTATTGGTTTATTTTATTATTATTATTATTATTATTATTATTATTATTATTATTATTATCATCTTTTTCCTTTGATTTCTAATGTGTACTCATTTCTTTCCGGGTCCCGCCCAAGGACCTAAGGTTAGAAATGGCATCATGACATTTTCCATAAAAAAAAAAATTACGTAGACAAAGACCTTCTTAAGGTGTTGGCTGTACTTGTGAGAACAATTTTTTGTATTTCTTTAAGGCATGGGCTTCCAGAAATCCCTTCAATTAGTCTACTGGAATCTTTTCCAACCAATCCTAGGGCTCCAACTACAACAGGGATTGTTGATGTTTCCATGTGCCACATTTTTGAGATTTCGATTTCAAGGCCCTTGTAATTTGAAAGTTTTTGAATATCTTCAAACATTGCAGTCAGCAGGGACTGCCATATTAATAAGGAGGCACTTTTTTGTTTGTGGTCTTTAATAACAATGTCTGGGCAGTTAGATTTGATTGTTCTGTCAGTGTGTATTGTGTAGTCCCAGAGAATTGTAACAGGTCCTATCTCCGTAACCGGGTCTGGGTGGTGTTCATACCATTTACTTTCAGTTTCCTTCCCGTAGAAGTTTCAAATTTTCCAGTGCAGATGTTGGCCCAATCTGTCATGCCGAATATTATATTCAGTGGGTGCCAATATCGTGCAACCTGATACAAGATGACCAATGGTTTCTGGATATTTATCACAGAATCTGCATTTTGGGCTAACACAATATTTTAGTATATGTGCTTGATAATTCCTAGTTAACAAGCATTGGTCCTGTGTAGCAAGGATAAAACCTTCAGTTTCAGCTTTCCACTTTGCACTACATAGCCACTAATGGGTACGAGTGTTGTCTACGTCAGCTTGTTTGGTACGGGCAGAGTATTGGCCATGAAGCGGTTTATCTTGCCATTGTTTCTGTATCTGGTCGGTTGCATTCGTCTTTGCTCCCTTTTGTAAGTATTTTGCAGCTTCAGTCGGTGTACTTTGCTTTACTTGTATTTCTGCGCCCGTTTGAAACTCCATATTATTATTATTATTATTGTTATTATTATTATTATTATTATTTATCACATGTTATTTTACTATGTGCTCACCAAATGAATTCAGTGAAACAAATTTTGGTATTTACAGCTATAGTGGGTTGGTAAACAGGATTGTACATATGTCCAAATGTTTAGAAGAGAAATAAATTATATAGTAAAATAAGAGACAGGAGGAAGTTGACTATTGATTACGATGTTGTAGAACAACACAATAAAATGATGTCGCTGATAGAAAGTTTACGTCGCTTGTATGAAGCAGAATTTGTTGAGACTTGGATCCGGTCTTTTGCAGCCCAGGCTAGGGCTTAAAAAAATATGAAAGAAAACTAGGCGAGACGAGAAGAAAATGAAATAACTGACCTCTTTCCAGTTTTAGCAGTTTGTGAAGCTATAATGAAAATTTATGTTATAGCAGACCCCAAACAAAAAACAATACACCCATCACCAAAAAAAAAAAAAAAAACGTAATCATGGTCTCGCGTTCATATGAACCATGCTCACATTTGTAACTCTAGTGTACTGCTTTTCTGGATGACCTGAAATCGTTAAAGATAGAATAACGACTATAATAAAACAAATACTTAGTGAGGTATTTTCTAGAAATGGGGTTCCCAAAGTATTGATATCAGACAATGCACTAGAATTCTGTAATGAAGATCTATGTTGAAGCAGATTGGCTACTTCCCTTCCAAAACACGATTGTATCACCCACACTTTAATGGGATTGCAGAAAGAATTGTGCAGACAGTAAAAATCTGATTGAAAGCATTTTCCCCAAGTAGAGATACTATAGACAGTTACTTACCAAGGTTAATGTTTAGTCACAGGATGATTCCTCATGCAAACAGACTGCAAAGCCTATCTTTTTTAATGGATAGACAAATAGGATCTCCATTAATGATGGCCTATTCGACAAATTAAAAATGTGGTATAAGAAAAAAACAATTTAGCAAGTCCCGAGAGAGCTAATTTCATCATGCAATTGGGACATAACACAGCCATTATATCAAAGAAAGGAAAACGCCTAATTGACCATTCTGACCAGTTAAGACCCATAATTTAAGAGGAAGAAGCTGTGATATAAGAAGATCTTGACAGAGAAGAAAAGGATGAGTTCTTTAGATCGGACTAATGCAATAGAAGATGAGCTTATGGTTGACAGCGAGAGTGACTAAGATACGTAAGAAGATGAACTGAGACTAACATCTCCATTAAAAAGAACAAGAGATAAACCACGAGAGGAGGAAAGTGTTTGTAGAATAATGTCGAGTACACTCAAAGATATTAAACCTCTTCGGTTCAGGGAGGTGTAGTAGAGTGGTAAATTGGATTGTACCGAAATGCATATGTTAAGTAGAGGAGAAATAAAGTGTACACTAAATTAAGAGACAGGCGGATGTTGAGTACTGATGACGTGTCGTAGAACAACACAATGCAACAACAACATTGAAGGCACGCGCGCTATTCCGTGTGTGAGAAATGTCTGTGAAGCCCACAAGCCCTTATAAGCAATGTCCATTTAAGAAGTGATCACGTAATGCTAGCCTGCATAGCAAAATTTGATTTTAAAACAGGCATAATCAAAGTGATTCCCAGAAAGAATAATAAGGTCGGAGAAAACATCACAGAATCTCAGGTAGAAATCAAGAACAGATTCCAGGCTTTGTGGAGCAAAGAAAATGGCTGTGAGATATGAATTGCAAATTGGCGAGGGTAACGATAGCGTGGGAAACAAACGCAAATGGCAATAACAAAGGGAGATAACTCTAGGACAGCATTAGAATTGATAAAAAATGATGACAAATATGGTCGTAAATAGTAAACAAGATAAAATCGAAAACGACGAATTACGTTAAGCAAGAAAAATGCAAACAGGAAAATAGATGGATACATTTGGAAAGCGCTGTAAAAGTTACAACTTGGTCTTCGGCTGATAGTGGTTGTGAAAAACAAAAAAGAAAAACGTACTTAACTGTAATGCAATATCGTCACATATATTGGAGCATTCGTAAAGTAATTACATTTTGAAAGAAATCATATTTAAATATCATTTATCAGAAACGTTATGTCGACATTTTCTACTGCTGCAGACTGATGGGGATTTTCGATTGCAAGTTTAAAGAAATATTGTTTGTTTTGTTTTTTTCTTGAAAACGTTTGAAAGATTGTTTTCATCGGCTTTGTTTGTGAATGTTTTACCACTTATGAAAATGTCCCTGCAATCGAAACAGATTGAAATCTGGGGGATGATAAATATGATGAAGATGGCGGATGTAAAAGAAAGTCACTTACTAACGCTCTTCTTTTTCATCGATTGTTTTTGTTTTGCAGAGTGTGCACTTGCCTTGCTGGAGGATAGCATCTTTTTTTATCCTTGCCAAAGCAGGAGACTTTCAACGTTATGCTTCGTTTACACGATCAACTTGCTGGCAATAAATATCTACAATGATAATTCTTCTATGTCCCATTAGCTCGTAATAGACAACGACTTTCATATTCCACCGAACACAAAGCAAGGACTACTGTGGATAGAGTCTTGACAAATAAAAGTTATTTCGCCGATTCACTCTCGATGTTGTAATTTTACTTCATAAAAAAGAGACAATAAAAGCTTGTTTTCGAAATTCACCCGATCATTTTTCTATCGGGTATTTAAAAATAATAAATACCTAAACCCTGATGAAAAACTGCCAAATGTATTGGCGTATTCGAGATTCAGCTGCTCAACAATAAACACTGTCAATACCATGTCAATCGACATGTTAGTTATGATAAAAGAAATCAATAACAATGTTAAAAGAGATAAAACAATAAAAAATTACAGATAGCAACAATCTACTTTGTTTCGACATGGTTACCCATGAAAAGGCATTTGACTCGGCAGATTACTCGGCAGTCGTTAATTTAATCCCTGTTCAGAGGATTAAAGAAACCTATACATTATTGAGGACATATAATAGTATTTTATTAATTTGTTGATAATAAATATCTACAGTGATAATTCTTCTATATTCCACTATTTCGTAATAGACAACGACTTTCATATCCCACCAGACACAAAGCAAGAACTACTTTGTATAGAGTCTTGACACAGTACAAATGAAATTTATCTCACCGCTTCTCTTTCGATGTAGTAATTTTACTTTATAGAAAGATAGACAACAAGGTTTTTATCAACATTCACCCGATTACATTTCTATCAGGTATTTACAAATAATAAATACCTTAGCCCCAGATGAAAATCTGCCAAACGTATTCGCGAAATTGAGATTCAGCTGCTCAAGAATAAACACAGTGAATATATAACGAACTCAACTGGAATTGAAACTTGGCTATCCGATTAAAAATTCTGAGGCGTTATCCATTACGTCACCCGCACATCCAAGCTTATAGCACCTGATATTTCCAAGCGGTCACCCATCTAAGTACTAACCCGGTTGACGTTGCTTAACTTCGGCGATCGTATGGAAACCTGTGTTTCAACGTCATGTGGTGAGAATGTATTCCTTCTATTTCGTTATATGTTTAATGGTTTGAGGGTGGAGGAAGAGGTTATATACATGTGTGTGTGTGTGTGTGTGTGTGTGCGTGCGTGCGCGCGTGTTTTTGTATGGTTGTGTGTATCTGTAGGAGTGGCTTTTTTCCAGTCATGGTGAACGCTTCTTTCTCGCAGTGAGGGTCATTGATTTGAACATATGTAAACTCACCCAACATCCCAAATGGAAATATACGGCTACATGACATTACATTAACAGTAATTTTTTTCCCCAAGCGGTCACCCAGTTAAATACTGACCAGGCACGACGTTGCTTAATTACGGGAGCAGTTGTTTCAGCTTGATCTGGCCGTAAACCACCAAAATAGTTTATGTATCTTGCGATGGAGTAATGGATTGTGGATAGAGGAATCGGAGAGCCGAATTCGAATTCCAATCGAATCCATTACATTCACCTACATGCTAATATCCTTGGTATTACATATGGGTAAATAGCAGGACAGACCGGATTCTATAGCCTTGGATGGGAACTGGTCTACTGCAGAAAGAAATGGCAACCTACTGCGGGAAAAAAATCTGCCTCGAAAGATACATGATCGCCTAAGCGTGTATCCCGCATGGCACTTAACTGAGGTAGACAATACTTTCGGACCATCTTGTAGTTCCAGGAATGCTTCCATCAATGGAAACGGTTCTAGATAATGTATGAAGCTTCAGAAAAGGGACTGCATCAAAGGAAATTAAATGCCGATTTGATGTGTGTTGTAGTTTGCCGTTTCTAATTCTTCCACACTGACTACCCACTTGTGTCTCAGTGGCTTTATTGCCTTAAATGGGGTAAACTCGCATTAAAAAATGGCCCATTAGGTTGACTGTCCAATGGAGTTCACATTCGTTTGCACCTAGGTTCTTAGAAAGTGTTATAAAAATAGATCTACTTCACACACATATATATATATATATATATATATATATATGAATACAAATAGAGATAACTATACGCGTTTCGAAAAACCCTCGAATTTTTGATTTGACAATAATCAAATCAATCTGGAGGGAAAAAAAGGTTTTAAAAAAAAGAAAGCGCTACAAACATGAAAGTCTGCCTCTTTAGCCAAATTTCCCTGACGATCCGTTTACGTGAAACCTAGGTAGGTTTGTCTGGCTCACTAGGTTTATATATATATATATATATATATATACCGTCATCCACAGACAGACTGTTTTGCAGCTCATCAGTGTGGCTAGACATCCTGTTGCCTCCAGCTAGGTTCGAAACCCGACTAAACTGGTGTCAGTCGGAGATTCTAACCATTAAGCCATCGGCAGGGAGGAATGTGGAACTTTAGCGTGTTTATCTTTATAAACGCGCCCAGTGACCGGGAGTGACTCAATTCGCATTAGCGAAGAATCTCGCTATATAGCTATAATAGTCACTGTTTACCAACCCATATCTCCTCCCCAGAGAGCTCAAATGAAATTAATTTTTTCAGGAGCCAATATATATATATATATATATATATATATATATATATATATATATATATATATATATATATATATATATATATATATATATATATATATAAGGTGAAACGGTGGAGTAATGATTAACGGATTGAGGAAACGGAGAGCCGAGTTCGAATTCCAGTCGAATCCATTACATTCGTTTACGTGCAAATACCTCTAGGAAAGGTATGAATCCTCTTCTTCTCCCCACAAGCTATGGGTAAATAACAGGACAGACCGGGTTCTATAGTCTTGCAAGGCAGCTGGTCGCTATGGGTAAATAACAGGACTGTCTGGGTTCTATAGGCTTGGATGAAAACTGGTCGAACGCAGAAAGAAATGGCAACCTACTACAGGGAAAAAATCAGCCCCGTCAGCGAAAGATATATGATCGCCTAAGCGTGTATCACGCATGGTATTAGGTTGGTGCAAAAATAATGACGCAATAATGTCGTTTTTGACGTATTTTTTAACGTCAAAAACGACATTATTACGTCATTATTTTTGCACCAACCTAATACTTAACGGACTGACTGTTTTCTTTCTTTCTTTTTTTCTTTCTTCTTTATTATGAACAACATCAAACGAAATGCATTTCGGTCGCTATTTTGAGGCACAAAGTTTATTCACTGGAAGGAAAATCAGAAATTTTAGCGACTTATATAGTGAAAGATTTAATATCAGTTTTCAAATAAACAAGACAAAACAAAATACTTTTCAACGCTATCATTCCGAAAATGATAATGAAACGAGACAAAAATTTAAAAAAAAGAATTGTAAGAATAAATATACTTAAGACGGATGATAACATTAACACGAAAAAAAAAACAGGGAAATAAAATGAAAACATATATAATGACAGAATAGGAAGCATTAAATAAAAACATATAAAAAAAGACATAATGAAAAACGCATCGCCGGTATGTGCATAATTAGTTTAAAATGGCTGTGACGTATGCTTTCGAAACACGGAATAAAAAAATTGCCTTACAACAAAATAGAAAATACATTAAGAGCAATGAAAAGACATCGAATCATTAAAAATGGGGGCGGGCAGCAGATATAGCTAGTAGTCAGGATAACAGATGGAGTAAAAGGTTGTTTCACTGGCAACAAATATATATTTATAAATTAAAATAAAATACAGAGATGAAATAGAAAACAACCTGTGATAATGCTGTTTTGAGACGAAGGGCACTATTTAACAAATAAGCTTTCGCATTCATTTGATCTGCTACTTTATAAACACTGATCTTATTCATAGTTTAAACGCGAGTATATATATATATATATATATATATATATATATATATATATATATATATATATATATATATAGATATAAATATATAATGCATAAATGACTATGCATCAATATTTTTTTACACTTATTTATCAGAACACACATATAAAGTTGGAGAAGATGATCATCATAGTGGGTGCATACACGTTACTTGAATTGTTTTTATTATATGTTCAAGCATCTGATGATTTTTGAAACTGACAGTCATGTCTAAGAGCTTGTAAAGACCAGGATTTTAAGCATCTTTAATGGTAATCTAAAAACATTGACCTATTTTAGAATTTGTAGAGGTTTTCTCTGATATTGAGCAATGTTAAAAAACATTGTTGTATCTGTAATTACAAACTATATATATATATATATATACATAAATAATATTATTGATTTATATATATATATATATATATATATATATATATATATATATATATATATTTAAGTGTGTGTGTGTGTGTAAAGAAAAGTGTGTACATTAAAAAGAAGAGAGAAACCGCAAACGTTTTTGATTGTAATATGGATTTAAAAAAAATGTTATGTTTTATTTTCCATAATTTTGCTACACGGGTTTCCGGTCTCGCAACCTTCATCAGGCAAAGCATGGAGATTTCCACATATTATTACAAGTATTTTTTTTCTTTTTCGATGTTAAATGTTCTCGATATGAGACATTCTATTTTTGTATGTTAGTGGCCCAAATGTCTTCCTGAATTGGCAGTGAAAAGTTCGCGTGAAGCGTTATAAAACAATTAACAATATATATATATATATATATATATTGTTAATTGTTATATATATATATATATTTATGTATGTATGTATGTATGTATGTATATATATATATATATGTAAACAAATATATGGATATAGATCCGACAGTATGAAGAAAAAATATACAGAAAAAACAAACAAAAATCTTAATATGCAATTATGCTGTATTAATGTTAATATAAATACGCTCTCTCCCAAAAACTGTAACTAAGGTCTGCTCAGCATATTTACAGCATAAACCGCAGTATAAACCATATATATATATATATATATATATATATATATATATATATATATATACTACTGTTCAAAAGTTTGAGATTACCCTTGTTACTTTTTTAAATTGGCGCAAAAATAGTTGTACTTTAAATAAGAGAGAAAATTTATTATACATAGGGAAGAAAAAATTCCCACATTACCATTTATTAACTAAATAGCGAGACTTTCTTAAACCCAGTTCAAGCTTTGAAAAAGCAGAAAACCATTTCTTGCCGTATGATAAAAATATGAAGCCTCTCATCCAGAAAATGATAATCAATTTTTTCCCTCCTAAAAATCGATATTCAAAATTGGGGCATGTACTCATTAACCCATAAAACTTCTGAGTTTAATAAATCTAACTTTTAACTTCCTCTGATCCGATTCCTTCTTATAAATAGTTTAACGTAAATTAATAAACTAGTTTTTCTATATATCTTTCAGCGGGATATAAATAAACTGATTAACTCAAATTTTTGCACACTCAAATTAACTGATTCAGTACTAAAATCCCTTTGTATAAATTATTTCTCGATTTGAAGCAGTTTGCAATGTCAGTTATCAGTTATCTCCTTGAGGACACATGACACAGTGGATAAAGGCGTTGGTTAGATCCAGTGACAGGACCCAACGAGTGCGAGTTCAATACCCGGTTAAGCCAGTGGAGAACTTTGAGAGGGAAATTAACAGGAGATAACTGATAACTGATATCCATGAAACGTGACACGTGGAACTAGAACAGTCTACACCAGTGAGCGAAATAAAGGGTGCAGTTCGACATTCCAAACACCTGAAGAAGGCTGGAGCGTATAACGGCCGAAACGTTGTAATAAATATGGCGACAAAGATGAGGACAATAGTCCGAATAATGTAAATAATATATATATATATATATATATATGTGTGTGTGTGTGTGTGTGTGTGTGTGTGTATATATATATATATATATACATATATATATATATATATATATATATATATATATATATATATATATATATATATATATATATATATATATATATATATATATATATATATATATATATATATATGTATGTATACATGTAATAATTCGATAGAATTTCTGATAAAGGGTGCAGTTCGACATTCCAAACACCTGAAGACGGCCGGAGCGTATAACGGCCGAA